AAAGTAAAGCAATGTAAATTGGATAAGGAGTGTTAAGTAGATAGGACAAAGAGAAAAGTAATGGGAAATCACCGACCCGGTGGGGTAAAATGTTTCAGCCTGTCCGGCAAGCTATGCCCCTGCTCATAGCTGGGAATGGTCAGCGACTTCCCGAAGGTATCCTGAAAGCAACGATTTTATTAAGGGTAGAGACAGTTCGGTAGAGAAAACGTGATGCAAACTATTAGAATTTTTACATAGCACGCGAAAAGGATTGTGCATAGCGTAGTCTGTTGTGCACGTAGATAGTAATAAGGGGCGATAATTTCTGGTTGGTCTAGCTGGAACAGAGAATTGAAGACGCCCTAGCAGAAAAGGAGAATCCATGTCGCCAATAATCAACTTATGTAGAAGGACAACACCGAGAATTGTCCTACGGTTGGTTAACGACGGAAGGTTAAGAAGAAGCAGTCTGCTGGAGTAATACGGCAACCGAAGATTAGGGTCGCAATTTAAACCTCGTAAGGCAAAAAGCAGAAATTGCTTCTGAACAGATTCAATACGATCCTGGCTGTTGTTATACTGTGGAGACCAGATGCAAGAGCAGTATTCAAGGATAGGGCGAACAAGGGAGATGTACAGAAGTTTTGTTATAAAAGGATCGTTAAACTCTTTAGACCATCGTTTAATGAATCCAAGTACACCTTTTGCCTCATTAACAATGAAATCTATGTGAAGATTGAAACAGAGTTTAGAATCAAAAATAACGCCTAGATCCTTAACTGTTAGTATACGTTGCAAAGGGATATTGTCGATTGTATAACTGACAAGATATGGTGTAGTACGATTAAATGTCATAAACATACACTTTGAACAATTTAGATGCAATAGATTGGCCGAACACCAAAATTGCATAGCGTTCAAATCGTCTTGTAGACGAGAATGATGTAGTGATGATTAGTGTATGATATAAAAAGTTTGACATCGTCCGCATACATGAGTACACGGGCATGTGATATAACAGAGGGAGTTCCTTGAGGAACACCAGAAGTAACGTGAACCCTTTTAGAGGTAGTCAACCTTAGTATTTTTCTTTGGGTCCTACCTTTTAAATAAGAATTAATCCAAAGTAAAAGGGGCAGAGGAAATACTATTCGGTCAAGTTTAAAAAGTAAAATGTCATGGTGCACAGATTCAAACGCCTTACTGAAGTCAGTGTAAATGACATAAGTTTGCATTTTCGAAAGGAAAGCATCATTTACCAAGGAAGTAAACTCAAGCAGATTGGTCGTAGTTGACCGATTCTTTACGAATCCATGTTGAACAGGGGAAACAACTGATTTGCAGAAATGCTGTGAATTCATAGTGATTATTTTTTCAAAAAATTTAGGAATAGCGGACAGTTTTGCAATGCCCCTGTAATTTTGTATATCAGACTTCCCACCTTTCTTGTGAAGAGGAATGATATAAGATTCTTTCCAAATAGATGGAAAGACAGAAGTTTCAAGGGATAGATTAAAAAGCTTTAGCAATGAATAAAAAAGGTAAGTACTACACTCCTTGAGTAGACAACTAGGAATATTGTCCGGCCCAGGAGAATAAGAAGATTTTAAGAGTTTATAGCTAATAGGAGAGAGGAGTGTGAAATAATGGGGGGAGGTATAGAACTACCGGAAGAAATCGTATAAGGGTAAGATTTAGTATTAGGACAGACTGAAGAGTAAGTTGATTGGAAAAAATTAGCAAAGAGGTTAGCAGAATCAGTGTCATTGCTAGCTTTATCCATCCCAAGAAAAAAAGAAGATGGCAAACTTGAAGATTTACGCTTCAAGTTTACAAAATTATAAAACTGTCTCGGATTTCGGGCGAATTGCCTTTTACAACGAGTAAGATAATTCTCATAGCATTGAGAATTAAGAAGAAAGAAGTTCGACTTGGCTATGGAATATTTAGCCAAGTCTGTACACGAACCAGACTTTTTAAACTTATTAAAATATATGGATTTTACATTTTTCAGATGTGATAATCTGGGAGTAAACCAGGGTGATTTTGAAAAAGTAGTCGAAGGAATTGACTTAGGAATACACACATCAAAAAATAATTATGGCTGTATTCATATCAACTGAGTCATATAAGAGAGACCAATCGGTCGAATAAATAAGCTGATTCAGCAAAGAATAATTTCCTTTGCGAAAGCAATAGCGGGGCTTATTCGCTGATGAGCACGAAATGAAAGGATTACAATTTAGCATTGCAATCTCTAAAGTTGGATGATAGACATCCTCAGGAAGAGATAAAGGAGGGGACCTAGACAAATTAGAAATAAGGTAGTCGTTAACAAGGTCTAGTGATTAGAAATTGAATTGATATGAAACAACGAAAGATCAAGCATGCAGTCTATAAAATCGTGCTGTGCTGAGGGCACTAGATAATTTTCAGCAGTGAATAATGACTACATTTAAATCACCCAACACCATTAATCGGTCATTATCACGCACGTGTGAAGAAACTTCTTTAATACAAGTAATATGATTCATATAAACTTGAATATCAGAAAATACACCTTAGCTGAGACAATCTCAGCGTCAGTAGGCCTACTAAAACAGAATAGTTCAAGCTGGAGAGTGGCTTTAACGGCAATTAACACCCCATTACCTCGAGTCGGCCGATCATTTCTAAACAAAAATCTCAAAATCAGTATTGGTTGAGTTTAACCATGTTTCTGAAAATGCTATTATATCCGAATCAAAGGAAGTGCTGGCCATGAAAAGATTTTTAAGCTTTGAAATGAGACCTCTGACATTCTGATAATCAATAAAGATTTGGTCAGAAGATGAAGCTAGTTTTTTGGGGCAGAAATGGTACCCTGTATTGAAGGGACTGGAAGGGTAAGAGGCTGGTTACTCTTTTTAGGCTTGAACTCGTGAACAATCATGTGTGGAGGCCAAAATTTGGGATCACAAATAATTGGGAACATATCATGTGAAACATTTATTTTCAATGATGATATTTCACGAGGGGTGGAGAAATTAAATTTGGTTATTGACACGCTAGCAGAAGATTTGCTAGCAATATAGGCTGCCAATGACTCAGAAGTGGTGTCCGACGAAAGTCGAGACACAAAAACCTGCCTACGAGGGGCAACTACCGTTAAAGTATGCGCTGATGTGGCTGTAGGTAATACAGGAGTTGGAGGAGCTAACGAGGCACAATGATTGTTTTTAACAATCTGGGCAAGATGGGCGCAGGTCTACCTTTGCGGCCAGGAGCTGACGGGGCTGAGGCAGTTTGATTAATTGGGTCGGGATCAGGTACGGGCTCTACTGGGACTAGTACAAGGGTTGAAACAGGGGTAATTGGACAGTCGCTTGGAGAAGGCGATAAAGACAACATTGGAGATACCTCCAAGTTGCTAGGAAGGGACAAGAAATTCGTAGGTGTCTGAACAGACGTAGAGGGCAGTTGCAAAAGTTGAGGCTCCAACCGGCGATTGGTTGGGGACTCAAATTTATATATGCCAAGCAACTCGAAACTCGAGTCAAAATTACTCGAGAGCTGCTTAGCCACATTATTTAATTTTCAGAATTGACTTCTCACAGAACTATACATTCTGGAGAAATCAATTGCTTGTCGATGCATTCTGGGCACGACCAACGCAAGCCACCGCAGCCGTTCTTGGCAATAGCAGCGATCTTGTCGCAATCACGCCCATTGAGACCTGCACATTTAGCATGCATCATATTCTCACACAGCCAGCAATTAACAAATTGCGGCATTGCAGAATCGTCAGCCTGCTTGAACGTGCACGGTTTCTTATAGCACGACATAATTATTAAATGCGTAAGCAATTTGCGAGAGCGCAGAGCAAAACGAAAACGGTGCACAAGATAGAGCAAGTAAACCATTAAAAAAACAATTATTCGTACACAAACAAATTGTTTGGTGCGAAAAGCAATAGAAAACGTTTGAGACAGCGCGATGCACAAGCAGAAAGTATGCAGCGAACACACGCACAAACATGTGTATGCACAGGGGAGCACCAAAGCAAAAGAATCAAAACAGGCAATAACAACAAACACGGAACTGACGCCGCGTTTTATAAAATGCAATAATTAACAGACTTACGCTGCACAACAGATAACACTTTGCACAGCTTATAAAAGCTTTTTAAATAAAGCACCGAAAAATGCAAAATTTTGTAATAAAAAGCAGGATAAAAGCGCAAAAATATATAAAAATCTTGGAGCACAAGTAAAACACGTCAATCACTCTCAACTGAGAACTCTTGTGTGCCGAAATTGGGCACCGATGATGTTACTGCCCAAATGTACGAGGAGTTTGACTTTGTCAGCGGTCCACAGCGGACGTACCGGCTCACAGTTAAGAATTTTTGGAAGTTGGATATTTTTCTTGCCGGCCACGGAGCATGTGCTTAACCAAAAAGAAAAAAGAAAAAAACAAAGGGCATACTTTTGTTCATGACGAGCTTTCTTTATTATTTAATTGCGAAGATAATTTTTTATGTGCCAACGTATTGCAAAAGAAATAGTGCCCAAGAGCGATAATACGCGAAATAATAATACACCCGAAACACACTGTCGTCATTTAAAACTACTATAAAAGCGATACTCTATTAGAGCAGCCGCAGCCATCCTGTGGCACACCACGTTTGGTTCCCGCGCCGGAGGACGCTGGCCAGATCAACCCCGATATTCACGGGCCGGATTTTCAAAGCGCGGCCAAGTGTCGGCGTAATCCACACGACGGAGAGATGAGCCATCACGGACGGGACTCACACGACGAAGAGGCAGCCACGGGCAAGACCACGCCCATATCATCCGAGTGAGTCTGTTCCATTTCGTGCGTCCTCGCCTGAGTAAACGGCAGAGTCAGACGCAGACTTCCCATTGTGCTCCCTGAAAGAGAACCGTCTTTTTTTGTAATTTTTAACTCCAGTTTTTTTTTTGCTATTAAATACAAAAAAAAAAACTCACGACTAGTTTAAATTAAGTAAATTTCCGAAAGTGCGAACCGGAAAGGAAAGGGCCCAAAGATAATTGCGTCTGCAAAGTAAAGAATAAAATTAAAAAGTTTAGATTTTGGTCAACTTATGCACGAGTGATACCCACTTATGCATATATGTATATATATATATATATATATATATATAGAGAGAGAGAGAGAGCTCTTTAGGCAGGCAAGGTAATAAGCGCTTTGACAAACAACGCCTTCCGTTGGAAACACATATGTATATACGCATTTATTTTAGCGGGTACTTGCTCCCCATTGGTGCAATAATTACCTGTGTTTATATTTCTCCCCTTGTTTTCCTTTCCTTTGTTGACTGGCAATAACTTCTGGCCGATTTTTTTTTGTGGTCTCCGGTATCATACGAAGGTCGCCAACAGAAAAAGATATTCTGTACAAAAAAAGGAAATATAATATATTTAAGATTAATAGAAATTGTTACAAATATGAAATGATGTAACGCGTTATAGATAACCGTTTAAGCGAAGTTGAAAGAAGAAAAGAAATTGAAACTTTAAACTTATATCTATTATTTTAAATATAAGAATATACCAGCTTTTCGTATGCACCTGGCTTAAAGTGCCGGAAACGTTAGCGAGTACGAAATTATAAATAACAGCTTGAAGATAACCTGCAGGGGAATAACAAATAAGATTTAATGTTAACAACGATAAGAAATGCAAGCAATTATATACCGTATCTGAAGAGAGAAATGTCCGGATAATTTTCTTTGTTGGAGAGAGTTGGCATAACAGCCGGCACAGGCTGATGGCCATCTAATGGCAGAACGTGGGACACGGACGCGCTGTGTCCGGAACCGGGCCCCGATCTGGAAGAGTAAGGTGGATAAATAGTGTTTTTTTGTTAATTTATATTGAGTGTCTCACCTTTGTTTTTTACATGTTCATAGTTGTTACAGCTGTTTATTTTGTTCATGAGTTAGAAGTTCCTATTGTTTGACGTTATCGAGTGGTGGTTCGCTTTGCATAGTGTTGTGTAAGTGTGTTTTGCTACAGACGTGTAGCTTCGTTGTTATCGATTGGGCGGACTGCGGGCCAGGGATGGGACTACACCCAGAGAAACCGTTGAGCCGGCCGGCGCGGCCCACCGAGAAACAAGCAGTTCCGTAACACAGTACCGATGAGGTGATATCCAAGTCATCAGATCGGGTCTTCGTCGTGCGGATTAATAGCAAAAAAAAAAAGCATAGTCGATTGCCTGATCAAAACCTGCATTTATGGCAATTAATGAGGCTGGCTAAGCCGTCCGTAGAATCGTCGACGATTCTAGCAAATTTATTTTATACCCTTTTTTAAACAGACAGAATGAAGCTAATCCAGATATGTCAGTCCGCAAAGATCGCAGAACATACAAGAGTAAGAAACTTGAAACTTGGCATGTAGGCCCTTCTACGCAAAACAAGTTTGCTTCAGATAATCAATAACTTGCCCCGTTCTCAAGCAATCGATATAACGAAATATCAAAATCCTGTTTTACGAACAATTTTGGTAAATAATAACAGCTAGAGTCACCAAACTTGACATGCATCTTCTAGAATTGTATATATGTATCAAGTATTTTTCGTTTTATCTCATTAGTTGTTGATTACAGATAGAGGAAGTTAGCGTGTTATGTTGCAATTTTGAACCCTACAGAGGGTACTATTTTTTGTTTTTTTTTTTTTTTTTAAAGAGACTGTAAAGTAAAAGGGAATTCGAGCTGTGCGCATCGCACTACTGTCAACAGTTCAGAAGTGGTCTTAATTTTCGACATTAAAAATAAATAAATGTAGCATTTTAAGTAAGGTTGGCTGAAAAGTTCGTAGACTGACACATAGATGGCGCTACTATTATTAAATTTGTTGCAGCCCTAGCCACGATCTATCGACCGATATTTATCGGATCTATCTCTAAGCTCCCATTCACTGGAAGAAGGAAAAGGATGCCAATCGAAGCGAACAACGACAAGAAAGCAGAAGACGAACTATTTCACAATTATAATTGATTTCACAAATAAAACTAACATTAAGAACATGACTGGCTGAGAGGCTAAAGTGGTGACCCCGTACGTTATATAGAGCATAACATGCAAAACCGGCACTATTTCCTGAGGTCCTCGTCCGAACGGGCACTAGTAGAAAATTTTCGGCAATACTCACAGATCAAAGCTCCAAAGTTCAACAATTGCAATTCTCAACTTTGGTTTTCATTATTGGATCGCTTGTTTTTCCTGCACAATGTTGTAACTGACAATCGCAAGTTCGTCTTGGTGTCGGTACAGTTGGAGAAGGATGTCGCTCTCACCAACGAGGATCTCATCTGAAATCCACCTCTGAATAACAGATTCGGCGCATTGAAGCAACGGCTCCCCGAAACATTTGCGGAAACAGAGGACTCAAAATTAAAGAGACTACTGCAGGGTGGTGGTATGACCGGGTGGGGGTAAGCCGTCGGTAATCCCTACACACATGCTTCGTTTAGCACCCACTACTGTCTGCGAAGCCGTTATGTGCACTCTATTTATCACCAAGCTGTCGTTTTGTCCGCTAAATTTTATCTGGAAGGAAGACGACCTAAATAAGTCTGCAAAAATCGGGGACAAGATGCTGGGAGATAGTGGAATGGAACCGACTTACGTTATGCCGACACAAACTGTAACTGCTGTAACTGGATCTGTATAGTTATCATATCTTCCTCGTTGATTATGGATCTGTGATATCAGTTGTGCCTTGAACAATGACAAACAGCACACTTCAAAAATCTAAACTGCAACTGCTCGGCCGTAAGCCGAGCCATAATACAAACATATGGCAACCTATACCTAGAGCTCAACTGGAGCCTGGGTAATGCTTTTAAGTGGTCCTTTATCATTGTTGACTCGCAAGCGGCAATAATTAGCGCTGACTTTCTGTTACCGTTCCACTTGCTCATGGACATCAAGCAAAAACGTCTTATCTCCACACAAGAGCACCTAACTTTCGGCAGTTCAATCAACCCGTATCATTTCGAAGCAGCAAATAATGCACGAAAACCACATTGACGTAGGCCTCACGCAAAACATACAGAAGCGTTCAGCAAGGCCAACAACTCACACAAAAAGCGCGTATCACATGCATCACAACTGGAGCACCAGTAGCAGATTGTCCACGGCGACTGATGGGTGAGAAACTGTCATCAGCGAGAGCACAAATCCATCAACTTATCGACGAAGGAATCTGTCGCGCAAGCCTGCTGCATATGATAGCAAAGACCAGTGATGGTTGGCAGGCTTGTAGCGAATACAGGAAGCTTAATGCGATAATAAATCCTGATCGTTATCCGATACCACACATACACGACTTCGTAGACCGGTTATAGGGTAAACTCATTTTCACAAATTAAGACTTAGAACGCGCATACATACACAGCCAACGGTGCAGTACTGGAAAAATTCAACAGAGGTACACGAGAGCCACTAGGTTTCTTTTCAAAATAACTAAGCGCAGCGAAAGGCACATATGACAGGGAGCTACTAGCAATCTTTGAAGCGATGATGTATTTCAAGCATATGCTAGAAGCAAGGGTTTTCGCAATAAAATCTGATCACAAGCTGCTGATATACGCATTCCTTAAAAAAACCTGGAAAAGCATCGGAGCGCCAACTCCCCCAATTACGATTTATCTCCCAATACTCCACAAAGATCCGCAATGCCATAACGATGCCGACGATGATCGATACAAAAAGCATTGAAGCGACCCAAGCAACGGACAGCGAACTGATAAGGATTTTAAATGGAGAGACATCGTTACAACTACAGTCGATGCGAGTCAACAAGCAAACTTTTCTCTACTGCGACGTATCCACAGATATTCCTAGACCATATATTCCACAGAAACAGATACAACATATTTTCGATTGTTCACCGACTCTCTCGTCCAGGTGGAAGGTCTACAGTCGAAGAAATATGTGCCAAATATGTTCGCCCTTCGATCCGTAAGGACATATTGGAATGGTCACTAATTTGCTTGCCATGTCAGAGGGCGAAAATACATAAACACAACTCGATTATGCCTAATCGCAAATGTCATGATACAATGATAATGATCGATCTGTTCTCTCGCTGGCCGGAGGCAGTACGTCTGCAGGATATGACAGCACAGATGATCTGTGATACAATATGGTTATACTGGTTATCACGGTTTTGGTGTCCCTTGTTAAACACTACTGATCAAGGGGCGCAATTCGAGTTGCACTCTTTAAATCGTTAGCCAATTAATTGAGAAGTGAACACATCCACACGACACCATATCACCCACAGTCATACGGAATTATCGAGAGTTAGCATAGGTCTATGAAAGCCGCTGTAATGTTCAAGCCGCAGACCCCATGGAATAAACTACTTCCAACTGTAATGCTTGGCCTTCGAACGTGTTTCTAGGAAGATCTCCAAGCATCAACTGCCGAAATGTTGTACGGGTGCACACTTCGTCTCCACAACGAATATTTCTATGACCTGGTCGCAGTTTCGTACCAACATGCAGGCGGTAAGGCCGACGCCAGTTTCGCATTATAGGAAGTCAAAATTTTTACGGCACAAAGCCACACATGAATGCTCTCAAGTATGCATCAGAACTGACGCAATACAAAGCCGTTGGAGCCTTTATATTCAGTCCCGTATTAGGTAATATCCAAGTCATTAGATCGGGTCTTCGTCGTGCGGATCAATGGCAAAGGAACAGCATTGTCGATCGACTGATTAAAACCTGCATTTATGGCAATTGATGAGGCTGGCGAAGCCGTCCACACGAATGACGCAGTTGGTCCCAGGGGTGAAAGAGATTCACAAATTAAAGTGCCATCAATTCGCGTATGGCAAGCAGCACAGTCTATGACTTGTCTAGGGGGGAGTACTATGGCAGCCCTAGCCACGATCTATCGGCCAATATATATCGGGCCTACCTCTTAGCTGCCATTCACTAGAAGACGGAAAAAATATGCTAATCAGAGCGAACACTGACAAGAGAACAGAAGACGAACTATTTCACAATAAAAACGGATATCACAAATAAAACTAACGTTAAGAATATAACTGTCCGAGGGGCCAAAAATCGATCAGATTTTTAGTTAGCCCTGACCCTCAAAGGACTACTGATGTACTAGGTTCTACTTAATGATCGTAATTTTGTAATTCCTTCCCCCATCTAGTTTTTCTTGAGTAAGTATCTAATTTATTTGACGTTAACGTCAATGAATTGCAATCAGTTGCAATTTGGAATAAAATTCCTTGTAGATGTATAATGAATATTTTTAATGCGTTTATAACAGTTTAGTTTGAGTTAAGTTTTTATAAGTAAAAGACGAGGTGAAATAAACCATCGCTCTCGGCGATTCCAGTAAATTGATTTTATACCCTTTTTTAAATAGACAGAATGAAGCATATCCGACCCCAAATGTATGTAGATGTATCACAAGCCAAGCCAACCCAGCGATGTCAGTCCGTCCGTCCGTCTGTCCGTATATATGAAAGCAAAGATCGCAGAACATACAAGAGTAAGAAACTTGAAACTTGGTATGTAGGCCCTTCAAAAACAAGTTTGCTTCAGATAACCAATAGCTTGCCCCGTTCCCAAGCAATCGATAAAACTCAATATCAAAATCCTGTTTTACGAACAATTTTGGTAAATAATAAGAGCCAGAGTCACCAACTTGACATGCATCTTCTAGAATCGTATATATGTGTCAAGTATCTTTTGTTTTATCTCATTATTGGTGTAGCTGTTGAGTAGAGACAGAGGCAGTTAGCGTGCTTTGTTGCAAGCTTGAGCCCTACCGAGGGTACTATTTTTTGTTTTTTTTTTTGGAAGAGTCTGTAAAGAAAAAGGGTAGTCGAGTTGTGCGCACCGCACTACTGTCAACACTTCAGAAGTAATCTTATTGACGACTTAATTTTCGACAAAAGCAAATAAACTTAGCATTTTAAGTAAGTTTGGTTGAAAAGTTCGTAGACTGACACATAGATGGCGCTAATAGTATTAACTCTGTGATAGCCCTAGCCACGATCTATCGACCGGTATATATCGGGTCTACCTCTAAGCTGCCATTCACTGGAAGAGGTAAAAAGGATGCCAATCAGAGCGAACAGTGACAAGAGAACAGAAGACGACCTAT